AAATCATTTCAATTTGCAGGATGTTCATCAGCTTAATTACAACTTTTCTGGCTTTTACATTCGTTCCGGTGATCGCCGATTCAAACGATACATCTGAACTGCAATCATATATAACACCTTCTTTGCTTATGTCACCTTTAACGCCAGTTATACCCATGCAATTTGAAACTCCTTCTACGCCCTCAGCCTCTCTGGAATCCGCAATTTTTGGACCACCTGAGGATTTCATTAAGTCTCCAGCGCCTGAACTAATCAGCACACCGGCACCGTTATCACTGTTATCTTCGTTATCAAACACGACACTCATACCCCCAATGGAAACTCAACAACTGGCAACACCACCAGCTATTGATACTGCCGATTCAGTGATAAGCAATACTGAAGTCAACGATGTTCTCGAATCGATTAAAGCAAGCAATGATTCAGCTGAACAGTCACTCTCTTCAGATGCTTTCCACACTCAGATATCTTCAACTGCACTTCCATACATTGACAATACAACCAATTCTGCAAAGGTTACCTTTCGAAACATTCTAACTGCATGCTAATGTGATAATCCCAACTGGTTCACCCAGAATAAAACCCTTTAATGACCTGAGAGCATAACTGAATTGCTTTCTGAAATGAATGTAAATTGATTCTTAGAAATCACATAGAATAAATTGATCGCTGAGGTCACTTAGTTTGTAATGAATACTGTTCGCTCTGATTTACTGAATCGTATACCATATGCAAATAATTGTTCAGTTCTTTAGAAGAATTGTCCTTACAAATCTCTCAATTCCAGACTACCATTTGGATGGGAATACGTCATAATTTGATAATTGTAAATCCGAAATAATGATGAGTATTTTTCCGGTTTATTATTTGAAAAATGGATGCTTGACGATGTTTTCGGTTGCAGAATGATGGAAACGCTACCGCTGACGGTGATGATGAAATAAATGTTGATGGATGCTTCGGGAAGATACGAACTGCTAGTAGTGTAGATCAAAAATTCAAAGCTAACATGGATATGATGACTCAAATGGCTAGACTTGACAAAATTGATGAATTACTCAGGAAAAAGGTTCACTTTTAACAAATGATTCCGTCTATCGAATANCATGCACGTTGTGGTAGAATCATTCGAAAATCATCTTTTCCACATAAGTTGTACTGACTCTAAGGTTCCGTTCATGAGAATGCTCGTGCGAATATTGTCATAAAGTCCATTTCAAACAAATTATTTTACCGATCATTTCGTCTCACATTCATTAGAAAAAAACCGATCAAATCAAATGAAGTTTGAAGGGATCAGTTGAACAAATTTCACGTTGTGCTTTATTTCAATATTATTTTCTGATTTGATGATGAGCATCATGTGAATCTGCCGATTCAAATTTTCATACTACTGTAATCTAGCCAGCATGCCTAGTGTTTTGGGTCAGCTCTCATAAGCCCAACGAATTTGTCTTATTATTAAGAACTCTTTAGAGCCAGTTTTTGAGATGCGAAAAAAATTCCACTTTTCAAAGTCCCTCATTTATGAAACAATATTCAGATACGAAAACTGTGTACTGCGAAAGAAGCACATGCAGCCGAAACGTTTTTGGATGCTCGACAAATGGGCGTTGATATTGCACGGATGATCACAACGAACTTAACGAAGGAGGAAAGAGATATACTCAATTTATGGGAATCTGTCAAAGATGTATTGTCACAACGTGCGTTCTACCTTTACAAATATCAGGTGCTCGTTTCAACTTGACTCAACAATTTGAATCTGATGCGTGGATTACTACTGAGTGGTCTTTTGAATGGTGCAGTGTAATCAAACGAATGATGACATTCAATGAGAGTGATAAAATTAATGAAACAAAAAAGAACAATATCAGTGCAAAATTAAATTGCAAATAAACTCGAACTGAGTTTATTGTTTGAATGGCACTATCATTAATATCGTTTACTCTGCTGCAGAATCTTCCGAAAGAAGACAACGAAAAACTGACAACGACATTCAATGAGATCTTGAATAGATTCGTTGCGAGTGAGCTGAAAGATCCGATTGCCCAATTCCTTGCCAACCTCACACCGGATGAACAAGATCATCTCAAGGCAAGCTATTCCTTGCGAATTTCCTCTCAGTTCTCTAGTAAATTATGAATCGTCCTTCCTTGAGCCTTTTAGAAACTCAATCACGTTTCATGTGATTGATTTTCATTCTGGCTTTCAACCATCATCCAGACTGTATATTCATTCACTACTAAACCAGTGATATTGAATGATATCATTCAATTGGATCCTTTAAGTGGTTTGTTATTCAAAATTACCAAATATGCTAACAGCTGTAGGGACCTAATAATAAGTTTATGGCAGTAAAGCAATTGAAAGAATAATTGCTTTTCTATTGATCCACTGATTAAAGTCCCAACACATAAAATTTCTATTCGCAAATCTCATGGCTTCCATAACTTTCCAGACGTTCGGCGCTGAAGCGGACGAGATGAAACTGGTAGAACTGGTGGATGGAAAGTTGATGTTAGTGAGTGCAGGTGATGCGGAAGAAAACGACGAAATTAAAGGATATGTTAAGGGTCTCTTCCTGCCCGAAGAGTCGTAAACTTGTTAAATGAATCAGACTGACTTCAATCAATTATTTATTCTCGCCAGATCTTTCAGTTATAATCTTTTGCGATGTTTTTGAACAAAAAATTGAATCCGTTTGCTTTTAAAGTTGATTTCTTTACAGTCAGTATTATATATAATGAAATTTTCTTTTCATGACTTATGGTATGATTGAAAATTGTGATATATGTATAAAAGATTTGTGAAATACCAACGTTCCAAATATCAAAAGAAAATTGACATGTGAGACATTCCTTTACCAATGCTGATACACGTATTGTTCGTTCGGGAGACGAATCTCACTGTATGATACAATTGTCAGAAGGAGATGTTTTGTTGGACCTGTCTTAAAAACGACATTGTGAAAAATCACCACCCCAAACGAATACGTTGCTAAAGCTAGATGGAGTGAATGAATGAGGGTTATTGTGCTATGTTGCATCTCTTAAATGTTGCACGTGATTACATTTTATTCCTGAATATACTTGGAATATCCACATTTATTTTATTGTCAGTGTTTTGACTATCACAGATAAAGTCTTGACGCTGTTTTACATATCCAGTTGTTGCATGTCTTATTTATATTGGTGAAGCATTCATTGAAAACACATGGTATGTCCGGAAAGTAAGTTCAGTTGGATAGAAGTTATGAGCGATTGTCATTCATCCCTCCATCACAAGTCACCTTTGACGGGAGAGCACTTTTACGATGACGGTGACGTGTAAAATACCGTGCAAAAGTGGTCATTAAGTCTGTTACAAAATTCTTCGAGGAAGCATTTCAAAGCTATCAAGAGGTATTAAACATGGAACCCAGTTAAATGGTAGAGTGGAATATGCTGTTTCGAATGGTGGTGGACTTATTTTGGTGCACTCTGTGTGAACTTCTG